TGTTCCCGTTGGCAATTTGCCACCGCCGGCATTAGATCTAAAATTTTCCGCGATTTAAACTTTAAAATCTCCCAGGTGCTCAGCTCTTTCTGGTGACCTTCCAACCATGTGTAAGCATAACCTCTTAAGACAGACTTCATCACCAAAATAAATTGATCTTGAAGACCTGTTAAATACATACGACGTTCGACTTCTTGAATGAAAGAGATCTTCACGAGAATCTTCCCCCGTAAATTTCAAGTTCCACCTGTTAATAGCGTTTTGGGTGTGAAACGCTTCTTCTCTTGCGAAATAATTAGGTCTAGGACCCGGAACATACACATCAGAAAATGCAGTTGGTTGTTGAAAATTAACTTCGTCCGAAGTGGAGTATAGAGGATCAAATCCCCCTCGCCTAGATGATTCGGCGTGAATAGAAGATGTTTGACCCTGAGCAGACAAAACCAGAAAAATAAAAATCAGAATTTCCAGGAAAGATAAAATCAATAGTTTCTAGTAATGTAACAAAGTAAGAATAAGACCCAGTTATGTTTAATGATAAAATAAAATTCAAAGAAATATTCCAGAAGAATGGAAACCAAAGCAATAGTTATGTTAGTGCATAAAACAAGTCAATCAATAATAAAGTACATTGAAGATATAAAATTCTAACTACTAGAAGCGTCTAGAAAGAAAGACAGGATTCCCACAATAATGAGTTAAGAAACTAGTGCAAATGAATAGTTATTTGCCTATTTTTCTCAACCAGGGAAATAAAAGATTTTAATTTTAACAATTCAGCTATATTTTTATGTCTCTTTCTAGATACTTTAGGGCTTTAGGCGAGCGTATCTCCAAGGGACTCAGGTGTGGAGTCCTTAAGTACTCGTTTTTATCGCAACTAAATAAATAAAATAATTTATTTTTATTATTTTGTAATTCAATGGGGAATTTATTATCCGACTCGAAGTAAATAAATTCAAATAAATAACGTTTGTTCCGTACTAAACGAGTAAATAATTTTTCAAATAAATAATTATATAATAATGATCTCGAGGATAAATAATTTAAGACAAAATACTTTTATCGAACAAAGGACAACACGTGTTAGCGCTTTGCCGCCTTTTATCTAATCCTTCGATCAACAAGTGACGAGTCAAAAGTTGATTACTTACGCGTTCAAGTTTCAATTAGACAAATAAGTTTTTATATTCCTTCGAGAAAGTTCTCGTGAAAATTTTATCTTTCAAAAATAATTAAAGTTAAGCAAATAAAATATTAAATTAATTTCAATAAATAAATTATCTCGCGTCGAAGAGAGGTGAGAAAACACATGTACTTATACGCAGATTTTTTAATGCAGATTACTATGGAAAGTAAATAATTAAAGATGAAAATTGATAATGAAAAAAAAAGAAATTTTAAGTAAAAATTGACTTTTTCTGACGCCAAGGTAGTTCGGGCGCCAATTGAATGTCTCCTGGCGAAGAGGTTTATTTCCGCGCCAGGAGAAAGAGATGTAGATGGTTGGGTTGAAGGGGGAGAGATCTGAGGGAGAGAATATGGATGGAATGCTCATACAGTGAATAAGGGGATTCCTGGATATTGTGGTGATTAGGAAGGATCTCTAGGGAAAAGGGATAGTTAATTTAAGGAATGGGGGATGCACTAGGAAGCGCGGAAATGGTCGTATGAGGCCTCTCTCTATCTGTCTCTGTCCCGTTCCATCTATCTCATTCACTTCGAAGAAGTCCTCGCCAGGTTCGAGAGCTTATGAATTTTAATGAGGAATAGCTTGGGTATTCCAGGGTCTTGGCGGACAAGGAAGTCAATTAGATTTTTGATAGATATTTTCTGCGTATAATGTGCATATAGTCATGCGTGTTCTCACCTACCTTTATCTCCCTCGGTGGTAGAGCTGGTGTGATTGAGGAGAGACAACGATGAGTGTCTGGATGGATGGCGCCACTTGTCTGAAATGGACAATGATTCCACTCATCTTGTAACAATTTATTATTTACGTTAATAACAAAGTTTCAACACGAGACTCTGATTTAATAATGTTTCTAGACGTGAGTTTTTCGTTATTAGTTACTAAAAATAATAGAGTTGGAAAAAAAACAATTTTAAGAATCAATTGAAAAAATTAAGATTTATATATTATAAGAAAAAAAATATTGACAACCAATATGGACAATTGGGAATGTCCCATACTTTGATAAAAGTATGATCTCTTAGTGTAATAGTTCAGATTAACAAATAATCAAGATTATTTTTGGAAATTTTCGAGTTTTGCTTGACTTTCTCATATATATTTTATTCCAGGTAAGCAAACCTTTACCCTAAACAGCTATAACTACCTGTTGAATCTCCAAGAGTGCAATAAAATTTATAATAAAAGAGAATTAGAAAGTTAGGATGATAATGTATTTGCAATCTTTTAAATAGGGATGAAAAAGTAAAAATTCTTCGAAAAATGTTCGATTGTCACGCAGGTACTACAAAATAGTCAATTTTAATTGTTTTTGCAATCAAATACCTTTTATAAAAATAAGAAGCAAATTACAATCTAAAACACGACTTTGACTATTTCATCATACATTTTATGTGAAATTTCTAACTGCTAATTGTTTAATAAATAAGGAGACATGAGTAATTTTAATTGTCCATATTGACTGTCAGTATAAAAACAGATTTTTTAAGTTTACCTCTTTTGATGTATGTTTCGGTTTAAGACCGAATCTTAAAGACATAAGTTTATCGTAATTTGCTATTAGTTTATGAGAATTATTGATTTGAGAAAAATCAAAATTTATACATCTATATATTACTATATAGATTACCCATATAGCCAATTAGAAAGCTCTTAGGTTTTCGCAATTAATTAGCAGAATGCTACACAGTTCGTATTTTTTGAATTCATGACATTCTCTAATAACGTTAAAAATGAATGTTATTAACTTAAAAAAAGCTTATTGTTTAGTAAATAAATATACATGAGTAATTTTATGTACATCTTTTTGAATTTTTTTTTTGGGTTTTTGTTTTTTAAATTAATAAGTCTTGATCATTAATAACTAATTACTATGTTCTGATGTCTATGAGAAGTAATGAAATTGAAAAATGCTTTTTTCGTAGAAAAAATCGATATGACGAATTACATTCAATTCATATAAATATATATATACATTACATTTTTAGATATTATGATACAATCACTATCATTTCAATATCACACATGCATTCCAGTCTTTGAACACTCTGTGTAAGAAAATTACATTTAACTTAAAGAAATGCTATTAAAAATAGCATTTAATAAAAAAACATCGTTAAGTTAATATACATAGTACATTTCAATTTTTTCAAAAGATGCTATTAAATATTATAGTACAATTACTAGCATTTCCATATCACACATTCTTTTCAATCATCGAACGAATTATCTAACACTTAAGGCATTTTTTTTAATGTTTTCTTTACACTTAAAAAAAAATTCTGATGAATTCGATGCATTCGATTATTCGTTGACTCAATCAATAATGAAAAAAAAAAAAAAAAATTTTAACATTTTCAATATCGTTTATCGACTTTATCAACGATGGATTCAGTATTGCGAAAGTAAGTTTATTTTTAACAGTGATGAAACTTTGTCCACTCGTCTTCTTCAGCTTGTGCTTCTCTAGCTAACAACTCATAAACTCGATTCTTCCTGTTTCTACTCCATCCGATAACTAAATTTTCACGTTGTAATTTTGTTTTCAAACTAAATAACGTTGCAACTTCAACATTGTTTTAACATTTGGTTTTCTCCAACTTGGACCTGATTTTTCACATTCACCTTGATCCACCTCAGCAATTAGTACCTTACAAAGATCAAATCCTATTATTCTTGCCAGATTGTTTTGCGTTGGAAATGATTATTATCCTTTTTCCGGTAAATGTGGTTAGATCCTCAACATTATTCAGAACTATTGATGGTGATAGAGTTGGTGATGATTCTGGGGATAGGACCCTATTGCTACCCTACCATAAGCTGGTAGTGGTTTGTTAGAAATTTCTCGAACATGAAATGATTTTTCTTCAGCTTCTAATTTTTTTATCTGTAAAAAATGTTTTATATTATAACATATCGAATTATTTATTTATTTAAATAAATAATTCTCGAATAAATCTGAATACGATAAAACGTAAGTAGTACTCTACTTATTAACAATAACATTCAAATACATATAAAAACTTACATAAAAATAAGGTTATTTGACTATTATAACGTATAAACACCAGCATATTTTTAACAAATTGACGTTTGTATAATAAATTACCCACTGTTCCTCCTATAATAAATAATATTAATACACAGGCCGGGTTTTTACTTATATGCAGATTTAAACAAAAATCCACGACGGGCTATTACCGCCGGATAGTTTATTATTTCGTAGCAATGCCACCAGAGGCATTTAATGCGCTACCAGGTGGCGCACAAGACTGGAAGTCTAGGCAACGAAAACTGTTTGATATTACTTGAGACTTAGATGTCAACCAGTGCACATCTTACGTTTTTTAACCGGTTGTTTTTTGTAAAAATACAAGTGCAGTTTCAATTTTATGCAACATTTGCATAATCAAAACGTAAAAACAAATATTTGAAAGTGAAAGCAAGTGTTTGTAATAGAAAAAGATTGATTTATGCAGTTGAGGTCAAGTGAACGAACAATGTCAAGTTGGAGTGCCGAAAATAGCAAAGGAATGATCCTTCCACGATGGTTACACTGTCCTCGAAAAAGTATAAAATTAATAAACGATAAATTTCTTGCATTTAAAACACCACTATCAGAAAAATATAATAGTCAAGTTTCTGAAGAATGTCTTTTTTCTGTGAACAACTTATAAACTCTATTCTTCCTGTTTCTACTCCATCTGATAACTAAATTTTCACGTTGTAATTTTGTTTTCAAACTAAATAACGTTGCAACTTCAACATTGTCATGTTGTTTACATCATCAAAGAGTCAAAGACTGAAAATGGGATTACTAATAGATTTGACAAATACTGACAGATTTTATAATAAAGCTGACGTCGAAACCCACGGTTGTCATTACCTCAAACTTCAATGTCGAGGTCATGGAGAAACTCCCTCCATAAAACAAACCAAGATTTTTATTGAAATTTGCAAAAATTTTATTGCACAAAATCCATTGGAGATTATTGGAGTCCATTGTACCCATGGTTTCAAAAGAACTGGGTTTCTTTTGATAAGCTACTCAGTTTTCATCGATCGAGATAATAGTGTATTCCAAGTGTCTGGATTAAAATTTCCACACCCTCGAGATCTTTCAAGATCTCTGAAAGATACTTTATTGGATGGCGAAATGGTCATTGATAAAGTAAATAGTACCGAATATCCCAGGTACTTGGCTTATGATGTAATCATGTATGACGGGAACGATGTATCTGAAAAATCATTCTTCCCCGATCGATATACCATCATCGAAAGAGAAATAATGGGAAGCCGTTATCGAGCATTAAATGAAGGTATAATATGCCGGGAACAAGAACCTTTTCCTGTCCGACTAAAGCATTTTTGGGATATCACACAAGCCAACAGTTTGTTGAGTGCAAAATTCGCCGAACAATTGGGTCATCAACTGGACGGATTAATCTTCCAGCCTTCGAAGGAGCCCTACATCCCTGGAACTGCAGGAGAAGTATTAAAATGGAAGCCAATAAATTCTGTAGATTTTAAATTAAAAATAGTCGTTGAATCGGGTATGGGTATTCTAACCAGAAAAATAGGTCATTTATATATTGGAGGATTCAAAGAACCATTTGATCACATGAAAATTACTGAAGCAATTGAAGATTTACATAATAAAATAATTGAATGTACATTCGAAAATGGACATTGGGTGTTTATGCGTGAAAGGACGGATAAATCTTTTCCCAATTCTTTCACCACTGCTCAGTCTGTTTGCCATAGTATTAGAGCACCTATTACTGCGGAAAATTTATGTAATTATATTGAGATATATAGATTTAAAGATGATTCTGATTGTTTGCCTCCACCATGTAAACGACGTAGATAAAAATTGATAGAAAAATTAATTAAGTTAAAATTGTATTTTTTTAATGTTAACTTTTAGCATCATAATTTGTAAATATTACTATTTATTAAACCAATTTAATAGTTGTACAGACATTGAATTTCCTTGAATGATATTATTTTTCAAGATAGATTGAAAACTAAACTTAAATTAAATTTTTTGAAAATGTTTTGAACGACTGGAAAGAATGTTTGATATGGAAATGCTAGTAATTGTACTATAATATTTAATAGCATCTTTTGAAAATCAATTTTATGTTATTGATTAATTAAAATGTACTATGTATATTAACTTAACAATTTATTTTTTGTTAAATATCATTTTTTAAAGCTAACTTGAATTTTTTACATAGAGTGATTAAGGACTGGAATGCATGTGTGATATTGGAATGATAGTAATTGTATTATTATGTATGGAAATGTACTGTATATATATATATTTATTTGTTTTAAATAAAATTTGTTATATTGACTTTTTCCATAACAATAGCATTTCTCAATTTTATTACCTTTCATAGACATAAGTACATAGTGATTAGTTATCAAGATTTATTAATTTGAAAGAAAAAAAAAATTACTCTAAAAATATATGCTTAAAAATACTTTAAGATGCTTAAAATTGAATTTTCTTCTTCACAGATATTGAATGTTCCGTTAAATTTTGCAGTAGCAGAAATTGCTTCTACTATAATTGACTGACATTTTATGCAGAGGTCAGAAGTTTCACGGATTATTTCTTTACGTTTCTTTTTTTTGCTTTTTCCATATCTGATACAATGTTTAATCGTTTTATAAAGATTCTTTTGTTCAATTAATATTCCTTTATAGCGCGATAGTTTTAATATTTTTCCATAATTGAATCTAAATATAAATTTAGAAGCTTTGAAAACGTTTTCATGATAACTAAGATCCACACTAGTGAGAAAACAGCATAAAGAATAGCTCTTTCTCTCTCTTTTTGGTTCGCCATCTATCGGGATTTTGAAATATACCATACAGTGTTGCACGATCGAAAGGAAAATAGTAATAGTCTATTTGTATAGTCAACTTTTGAATGTGTAAGTATATATGAGTACACACTCATTCAAAATGTTTTGGAGTGCAATTGAAATTATAAATATATTAATGCATTAGATTATCTCACATCTTACAATAACTTTTTTGCTATATTGTAGCACGAAAACTTCCTTAATGCGTACTTCGATTAACTGAAAGATTTTTGTGGCTCGGGAACATAAACTAATCTATTGAGGAGATGACAAGTGGCTTAAGGATGTTGTCCACATGAATATTATGTTTCTTTTAATCAGATGAGCTATAAAAAAAAAGTTGCATATTTCAATGACTCGTAGAATACTCTACATATGTTTGCAAAGTAATGAAACATAAGAAATAAATGAAGGACAAAAGAGCCATTCAATCCTTCATTAAATTTGAATATTGTACATTCAACGATTGTACTTTGAATTTTACTTTTAATTTTTATTTCTTTTTATCAAATATGGAGAATAATTTTATATCAAGACTATAAACATAGTATAATAGTATTATTGTTGGTTATTATTTGACTTTCCTGTAATGAGTTTCACTATTATTTGTGTATAAATAATTTTAAACCAATTCCTGACTTTAAACTTTTTTGCTGATGCCCGCCCCCGACCAGCAAAAACCTCGGCTCTGCAGAAGTCGGGCGGGCATCCTACATACAACCGTTTAGCTTGTAAAGTGATTATCGAACTTACTTTCGGCGGGATCAAGAAAAATAGTATACGACACACGCCGGGAAATTCAACTTTCTGGCCTTGGGTCGTAATATACTATTAATTTATTGTTCTTGCTCACGTTCTCTCTTTCACTCTCTTCCACTCTCTTTACATTAATTACTTTGTTGATATTATGTAAATGATGAATAATACAAGTGAGCAAAAAGTGAAACTTACACACATAATTCTATTAAACGAATACAAAAAGACAATTTTAATATACAGACACTGGAGTAAAATTATCTTACGGACACTATTTGTATTTTGGAATAGTCATCATCACATCTGTTTATCTTTATATCGTCAGTGTTATTTTATCAAAATGTTAAATAATTCTTTATATTTATATAATATTTTTTAAAAGAAGAACGATATTTAGATCGATGAGTTCGCTTTTTTTGCCAGCAATCAAGCATTAATTGATATATAGCTTCAAGACAATCCATTGGTGTTAGCAATCGGTATCCCTTCTCAATTGATTAAATAACATCTTGGTTCGACCAATTCCAATTAGGTCTCTCACCATATGACCTAACTTCCCCACAAACTATGCCCATACTCCACACATCTGATGCACTTGTAGATTTTCTAAATGTTATTGCTTCTGGTGCAGTTCAACAAAGAGGTATATTTCCACCCTAAATCAATAAAAAAAATGTATGACTATCACAAGCAGAACTACTACTACGACAATTGTCCTCGCAATTATAGATACTTGCATGTTGTCATTATCACCAACGTGATCTATAAAATGTACAAAAAAAATGAATATATACTCTTTCCAACGGTAAATAATCAAATATATTACATATTTACCAAATTCTATCATATGAGCAGTATTTTTGAAAATTACAAATGTATATTTACTCCATCCTCGTGTTGTTTTTGCTCTTACTTGAATTGCATAATTAATTACGGGTGCATAGCATTTTTTAGGATCTTCAAGTTCTTTAAAATAGCCAATATCGCAGTGGCATATAGCAAATCCATAATCTGGTGTTGTACTGTGAGCAGAACTTTTCTCACACGTATGTGAAGCCACCTTATGTTTAAACTTTCCAATAGGACACTTATTACACTACTGTTTTTCAATGTCAGCTTGATAGCCGGGCTTGCAGTGACATCCGCGTGAGGGTAAATACTATGTACCATCTCCTTTGTCCAAAAATGTCGGCTGTTCAATTTCAACAACATTATCGACATATGTATAGATCGTCTGTTCAATCAGTGCGATTTCATGGCCAATTGATCTCACCGGAAAATGAACAAAATTCACTGATACCTCCGGGCAAGTTATATACTGAAATGTTCTGGCGAGAAAATGGCGTTCGCGCCAGAAAGAAAATAGAAAATAATTCTTATATTTTAAAATTTTATCTTTTGGGAGGCAGGATGGGTTATATATTTGAATGAGAGTATATGCTTGAAAAAGTGCGGGAAATCTAGGATCATAGGTATAGTAAGTATTTCCTTTTCTATTACATTTCATAAATGAGGAAGGGGAAAGTATATGGGAATATGTAAAAAGTACCAGAATATTCCAGGGTACTCGGGAGGAGTTTACCAACCTGAATATGGAGAAAATAACTGCCTTTGCGTAATTTATTCGTTCTCACTTACCTTCGTCCTGCTCGATGGAGAAATAGAAAGAGTGAGATGGAACGAGAGCGAGAGAAGTGACGACGTTTAAGCGGGAACAGATCCACGTGCAAATGTGCAAAGTGAGAAGAAGATCGGACAATATTTTTCCTTATTCAGTACGGAATAAATCGGTATTCCTTGGAGATTCCTCGTATCCTGTAATTCTCACGCAAACTTACTAGGGGGTAGTTAGCCCAAGGGAATTGCATCCACATGAAAGTATTCTTGCGTTTATTACAATATCTTAATATACAATCCACGCAGGATTCACTATCCCACGACCTGGAGTGGGCCTTCGGTTACACGATTTTACAGAGACTATGAGAAAATACCAATAATTAAAATTAATAAATGTTATGTGTAATTGGTGAATACGATCCGGGTACGAGATAGCAATGTGACAATAATGAGTTGCCTGAAGTGCCAAATAACGATGACAAATAATAAATACACGGGCTCGCCCTATGCCCTTGAAGGTACAAGTTATGATGGAGCTCACCCTGTAGATGCTCGGGCCCGTAGTCTGCTGCTGATGGTGGCAGATGACCCAGGAGTCACCGATGATGAAATTAGACGTCTTCAAGAACTCAATAGTTGCCTCATTCGCCTTCCAGAAAAATTGTAACGAGCTATGGCTACTAAGGCTATGCAAGTCCGCGGGGAAGCTACTCGGCGTTCCGACCTAATTGTCCGTTGACCTGTGACCCTTGTAGTCGCCTGAAGTTGACCAATGTTCGTGTCCAGGAACTGCACACTCGCGGCTACTTCCGTTCTCGGTCGTTCCGTTATGAACGTGGAGGTAAATATTGTACTTAAATCTCACGAGGAACGATTTACGTAAGCGTCTGTTCTACTACACGGCGTCAGCCCAACTGAAGATGGTCGTCTGTCGCGACGTGCTCGATAGCGTTTTGGCGGGAGTCCCCCTCCATGTGGCAGGCTCCTCCCATTGCTTCTATCTTAGTGCCTTCCTTCTGGAAACTTCTTGTGAATGTCATCTTGACCTTTGAAGGTCAAGCAGATTTTGTTTTGACCGATGGAAGTTACAGCGACTCTGAAACAAACAAGGGATTTCTCCCATCGGTGGCGACATGAGTGTCTATTTAGGATCGTTGGTTGATATAGGTGTCACCACTTGCTCGGAAGGGACACTGAGTTGAATCCGTCTTGTCACAATACTAAACCTTTATAGCAAATATAGAGATATAAGCACCTTGATCTCTGAATGCAAAGTAGATCCTCTTTTTAATTACCAAAATAGATTTAGCTTCTGTATTAATTATTACTTCGGTATTTGCATTGAAACGTTCTTCTCTAGCAGAAATGCAACCAATCAATTTATAACTTTCTGGCTCCCATGGTGACGGTTCTTAAGTAGTTGCATCAAATTTATAATAAAATAGAGAAAATGTTTCTTTACAACTTAATACATATCCCAAATACAATCTCTTGTTGTAAATTTAATCTCAATATACGTTCGGTTTGCTGGACATCATCAATAGAAAGAAAACGCCTATGAGCTTCATTAATGACACTATACTGATTGAGATCTCGGTTTCTTGAACTTCTTAACGAAATA